GCCTCTCAAAGGAGTGAGAAGCAGTTTATGCCGGCATGATTGGAAAGAACCCTCTGTACTGGTGTTAATAATATCTGCATATAGTTTGCATAACTGAAATCTTCAATCATCTTCTTCCCAGCTTTATTGAAATACATTTGACATATAACACACAGTAATACCTTCATCTCAGTTTTGGTCCACAGTTACCATCACTATCCCTTATAAGCGATGTGCACCAACAGCGATTTGATTTTTTAACCTTTCAATATTTTTTGTGTTTTTTTAGTTTTTTTTTCCTACAAACACAAGTTGAGCCCCAGTTCTGTGTCAGAGCTGCATCTCTGGAGATCTACAGGACAAACAGTAATGGCTAATGATTTTTCAGGGTTGTACAAAACGATAAGTCTACAACTGGAGTGGTTGTGGTATTAATGGCAGTGTATCCAAAATAAAGAGAAAATCTGAAAAGACAGATAAGGACTGTCCGACTGAGATTTTTTTAGCAGCAGTGGTTGATCCTGTGCCTCTGGACAGATGGGAGGCTGAAACAAAAGATATTTTCGGACATACAGAGAGTAGCAGAATTTCTTACTCTCAGGCTTTAGCTGGAAGAATGACTAACAGTCGGATTTGGGCAGGGAAGAAATTGAATCTAGGAGTAGGTTACACCACTACAGAGCAGCAGCCCAGCCAAGAGACGGGGCGTGTTAATAAACCTAAGTAATCCAAACAAAAGGCTGCCCCTGTCTTAGGATTTGAGTACAAACGAAATGTTTAGACTTGGGGCTAGTGTTTGAAATTCTCCCATTTGTGATGAATTATTTTCACTTCAGGCAAGGGTCTTTAACTGGAGGTCCGTGGATGGCATTCAAACCATCCGCGAACTTCTTAAAATTATAGGTGACATTTTGTGTATGTGTAATTTTCCTGCAGACAGGATTTGTGGCTTTCATCAGACGTTGAAAGGGGCTTAGAACCTGAACAAGCTTAAGAACTACTGGATTAAGATATAGGCCCCAACTGGAATGAAATTACATGGGTGCTTTCCGCGAAGTTGAGACGTGATGATCTGAATTTGAATATTGGATCTTTGTGAAACGCCTGAGACCCCAGACAAATGATATTTCTTCTCATCGTAGTCTGTTTGCGTGGTGCACAACCTGTGTGACTGGACATGGCAGCAATGCGCCTGGCCCCTGTGACTGTACCTTGCCATCAATCGGTGTTTGATTATAGCCGTTATGCTTTCTAAAGGGAGTCACTACTGAGCTATCAGAAGAAATAAAGCTTCTCAGTGACCAATTCTGGGATATAATAATAGGTTTGGTGTTGCTGTTTTGTTAATCGAGAGGGTGTTTTGTGTAATACATTGTCTAAGTATGCAGGATGGGGAGGGTGTTGTGTTTAATCATTTTCTCTCTGGATGAGATGTGATATTAAAACAATTGTTAATTGGTGACCGTGCCTAACTTGTGTTTTCAGAATGCAATTGTAACGTATATCAGAAATGGGCATTTTATATGCAGTTTTAATTCCACTGCTCCATTCCTTCAGAAATTTGTTGAGTGCTAGTGTCAGGCTGTTTACTGCACTGGTAACATCACGGGTATTGGGTTGAACAGGGTGGTCCTGTCCCTGAGAATTACTTTGAATTGGGATGGAAGGTGGCAGGCCATCACCAAATCCTCAGTGCCAGCCTAAGACGTAATCAGGTCCAGAAGAAGCCATGTTCCTAGGAGCCTGCCACGTGGGGCATCAGCCTGTGGGGGTGACTAAGAACGGAGTAGAGCACATACTTCGCGGACAGATGCTGTGAGACCATGGGCTTCCTCAGACAACGCAGGCATCAAAACGTCTGTTTCATGTATATAGTTACAATCATAACGCGGTCTGCTTCTGAAGCTGTTAACTGTCTTCTGCCAAAGCCCAGGACCTCCTCGTGGCCCCGCAGCACCCCCAAGCGGCAGGGACAAAGTGCCCAGGTGCTAGGACTGGGCGCCCTGCCTGCTGGGAAGGAGACACGTCTCCAGCCCCATTTCCTGCCCACGGGTCCATTTCCTCTCTCAGGACACGGGTGTCCCTTCGAGAGAGAGGGAGGCGGTCTGTCAGATGGTTACCGACGGCATGGAGAAGGGTAACTGCCTCTCAGAATGAGCCTAGGTTTCCTTTCCCGTGTGGCATGTCCCTTTTTTTGTGTGTTCTGTTGCAAAATCCTCAGTTTTGATTGAGATGATCATCATCTCTTATTTTAAGAGATGAACACCCGTATAGAGCTTAAATGGTAAGGACAGCTAGGGTTTTGAGATGGGACTTGTGTGAAAATGCGGAATGTCGGATGATGGTGCAATATGGTCTCTGGTCTGCCAGCTTTCCGTCCCCAGTTATTCGCAATTATATGAGGACAATTAGATTATAATTCAAACTTCTGCAAACTCATTTAGAGAGATAAGAAATTCATTTCACTGCATTGTACTCTAAATTGTAAATGAGGTTCAGGATTGATTGTTTAATAGGTTGGAGTTCTAAATTGAAATTTTCTCCCGTGTTATTTTGTATCTATATGATTCACCGTGAAGATTGGGTTAAAAAGTTAAAAAATGTTGATGCAATTTTCTTCTCTGTGAAATCGAGGTTACTATTTTTAAAAAATTGATTCTGGCCTCTCCTTTGTATCCCTCAAACTACCACTTTCTCTGCCATTCCTAGAACTATTTGAAGTAGTTATGTAGCCTAAAAATAGAACAAAATAAGCACAATTTTATTTTTTTTGGAAAAGCTCAGAAAAAGCATAGCTCATGCTCTTCTTCCCCTAAAAATGGGAACCTGAGCGTCTGATCCCTATGTTTTTATTATCAGGTTGCACATATTGTAGGTAAATCTATCTGATGAAGTCTCTTGAAGGGATGATTGTGGGGGTGGGGGGGGGCGAGCGTGTATGTGCATGCATGCAGACACACACGCATTGTGACAGTGCATGTGAACGTGGCAGGAGCTTTTTCGGGCAACGGTGGGAGTGAATTAGCTCCTGGAACAAACATCAGTGCCATCCTGCCTGTAGACGGCTTCCTCTGGTCTTTTCTCCGAAGCCTTCCATGGTCTCTTCTTTTCCTGGGACCTAACAAGTCTTCTCGCTAGCTCTAAGACAGTGAAAATGACTTGTGGCTGTTTTGCCTGTGATTTTCCAGGGCCTTTGCCCTCTTGGTTGCTGCTGAGGTAGGCAACGTGTGTTGGCTTTGAGCCTAGGTCTGCTGTAGGGGAGTAAACGTCAGCCCCTCAGCTCCATCACCGCCGTGGCTCAGGGGGTGCATTCTGAGTTGAAGATATAATGGGTTTAACTTGCCTCCTGGTGTCCTGGGACACTTGAATCGTTCATTCAACCCACATCCCAGTGTCTTCCAGTGCCAGGCATGGCCCTAGGGGTGTGTCATACATATGTGGACACGACAGAAATCACTGTGCTCTTGGAGTTTACATCTGGCTCCTTAATAACTTTCTGGAATGAAGGTCACTTCCCTAAGCTGTGGAAATATTCATACACTTGACCCTTTGTTTGTTTGTTTCTTGTTAGTTTCTAATGTAGCATAAAAGATGAATAAGAAGACATCATTGGTGCCCTCAGAGAATTTGTGAGAGAGCAAGAGACAGAGACAGAGACAGAGAGAGAGACAGCCGGGCCAATGTGTAGTTAACACTTCCCTCCCCGGTAGGCCGAGTACATGCTATAGTAAAGGCAGAAGCAGCATTGCTGAGGGAAGAAGGAGGGACACGATTTTTACGAAAGGGGTGCCTGCCATTCAGTTCAACCTGTGGTCCCCTTTGAGCACGTGGGGGTCTGGTGGTGGGTGCAGTGATGGACTTAGTGGGCCATGAGAGTGGGGACAAGGGATGAGTGAGGCCGAGTGCTGGGATGCCTTGGCTGCGGGCTGGAGTGCTCTGGAAGCAGACGAGTCAGTGAGTTTCACCGGATGGCTGTGACATGGCTAACCCACCATTCTAGAACAGCTGATGGCAGAGTGTGGGATGCACTGAGAGCAAGAGCAGGGGTGGGGGTGTGGGGAGGGAGGGAGACAGTAGGTGACCTTTGTTTATTCTTTTACTCATTCAACAAAGACTTAGCTGCGGCTTGCTGAGTCACTTATAGTGATTGCCAGTCTCAGATGGTACTTTAAGAAGAATGGAACCAGGGGCACCTGGGTGGCTCAGTCGGTTGGGCGTCCGACTTCAACTCAGGTCGTGATCTCGCGGTTTGTGGGTTCGATCCCCACATGGGGCTCTGTGCTGACAGCTCACAGCCTGGAGCCTGCTTCAGATTCTGTGTCTCCCTCTCTCTCTGCCCCTCCCCTGCTCATGCTCTGTCTCTCTCTGTCTCAAAAATAAATAAAACATTTAAAATTAAGAAAAAAAAAGAATGGAACCAATTTAATGCTCTATCTCATCTTTCAAGCTTGATGTTTACATTTTTTTCTCTTTGCTAAGGGCCTGAAAGGTACACATGAAGGCAACTTTAGGGGAAGGGGTGTGGACATCTCCGTTTCCTCTGCCGGGTTGCTCCTGCTCTTTGCCTCACTTGTCGGTGGTGTATAAAAATCCACAATCGGCTGTGCTACACGGGGAGATATGGGGCCTCACAATGCCTGAATAATTTGAGATGTAATTCAGAGAAAACGGATTTCATTTATGTTTTGGGATAAGAGCCACAGAGAAAAACTGGAAGAAACAGATGGGTTTGTCTTGACAAAATGCTTCCACTGCTGTGAAGGAGCCAGCCCCCTTCTCTTGGTCAAGGAGGGGAAACTGCATCTTAAACATGTGGTGGTTATTATTCATTGTACTTTTTTTTAAGGTGGGAAGCGTTCTTTGGACAGAGTTAAATGCTGCTCAGCGTAAAGGACGTGAGGGGGTGGGGGGGCAAAGCCTGCAGACTGTGACTAATTGACATGCACCGGCCTAATGAGAAGACAGAATGTGTCTAATCAGCGGCAGAGCAAATACTCACAAAGGGTCTCCTTCTCTCCCAGGACTTCTTTTGCTGGGCATCTGGCCGGGATTCTCGTCGGACTAATGTACACTCTTGGGCCTCTGAAGAAAATCATGGAAATGTGTGCAGGTACAGAACAAAACACCCTTGGCCTGACAACAGGTTGGAAGTTCATCTTAATTTTAATGGAAACAGAAGCCACCCCAAGTTTCCCTGTGGTTCAGCTTAGGAATTCCCGAATAGGCTCTTTTTAAATTTTTTTTTTTAACGTTTATTTATTTTTGAGACAGAGACAGAGCATGAACGGGGGAGGGTCAGAGAGAGAGGGAGATACAGAATCCGAAGCAGGCCCCGGGCTCTGAGCCATCAGCACAGAGCCCGACGTGGGGCTCGAACTCACAGACCGTGAGATCATGACCTGAGCTGAAGTCGGACACTCAACCGACTGAGCCACCCAGGCGCCCCCCGAATAGGCTCTTTTTAAAACCAAGAGGCCAAACACCGGCTGCACACGTGCCCCACACTGCTCCAGAGAAGAGTCTGCAAACCCAAATTGTGAACCAGAAGCTTCCTTAGGGGACAAATTGTGGTATTTTTACCTGCAGCATTAAGGGAACTCACAGAAAACCGCGATTTTCTTGAAAATGCAGAGAACTAAAATAGATTTTTTTAATTTAAAAAATGTTTTAACGTTTTTTATTTATTCTTGAGAGAGAGAGACAGAACACAAGCAGGGAGGTGAGAGAGAGGGAGACACAGAACCTGAAAGCAGGCTCCAGGCTCTGAGCTGTCAGCACAGAGTCCGATGCGGGGCTTGAACTCATGAACCATGAGACCATGACCTGAACTGAAGTCGAACACTTAACTGACTGAACCACCCAGGCACCCCTAAAATGGATTTAAAATAATGCATTCTTCCGTAATATTCCCCAAATTAATATATGTGCAAGGCAAAGTTAAAAAAGAAAAATCTGGACCGAAGTGCAGGCCAGTATTTGCAAGAATTCAGAATGACCCCTAGGTTCTTGGTGGGTGAGATGCATATTCATGCGTGGCCAAATCAAGTGTGCTATGGCTTAAAGAGTGGCTTCAGCCTATAAAAGTTTGGGGGTTTTTTGTTGTTGTTGTTTTGTTTTTGTTTTTCTGGCTTTTTTTCCTGTCAAATTGATGCTCAATGAAAATACTTTATTTTATTTCGAATATATGAATTTTTTAGCCCTCTTAATTTAAAATGCTATACTGTGTTTGACTTATAGGAAAACTATTTTGCAGACACTTGTTTTATAGACCATATGAGTTCCAATATTTCATCTTTTATTCATAAGAAATCTTCTGAGACTATTTTACCTTTCCTTGAACCATAAATAATTTGTTTTCACACTTTGTGCCGATGACTGGTATTCTTGAGAACCATATAATATTCATGATATTAGAAAGCTTTCCAGGCACTGCACTGCCGTCTTTATTAGGGGGTTGTGTTCACTTTCAGATGATTTTTACAGGCTGTGTTGCATCTAAACGGATTCCCATTTCCCTACATTTGCTTATTACTGTGTTTCCAGTGTGTGTGCTTGGAGGAGACAGCGGGAACTGCATTTATTGAAAATGTCCAGTTTCATTATATTTTTGATACAACTTAATTATGGAAATCTAGTAATGAGCTTTGTTGCCCAAATGCGCCTTAGTACTGATAAGGGAAAAGGAATGTTTCTTGCGAGTTTAATGTTTTGTTTCATTTTTTTTTTTAAAGATTTTATTTTTAAGTAACTTCTACACCCAACTTGGGGCTCGAACTCATATGCCCAAGATCAGGAGTCGCATGCCCTGCCCACTGAGCCAGCCAGGCGCCCCATGTTTTGTCTCATTTTCTATGTGTATCTGAAGTTGAAGTGGTTTGTAAAGCTTTCTTGCAGAATTTAGGGAAGAGTTTTGATTTTAAAGAGGATTTTTCCCCACAATTACACCATTTCAACTCTTAGTTTTCCTTCTTGAAACTTTGCTTATGTTCTGGGCGACTATTTTTTTTTTACATCATGTTGTTTTCAAAGTAATACAATAGAAAATTAGATACTAAAAGTTGAAACAAACATTCAGTGCTATTTACAAATAGCCTATAATCTCTCTGCCTTTTTTCCGCTGAAGCCGGAGAAAGATCTAGGGTGACCTGAGAATTGAGGTGACCCAAGAGCCCTGTGGAAAATAGCCAAGTGCATCTGCCTGATAACTTCTGGAGAAGGAGCATCACACTGAAGTTGTGCCTGCCTATTACTCCCTACACCGCCTCCCTTCAGTAGTGCTGAATTGACTGTCCTATTGCCCTGTTAGGGACAAGGAAGGGGAAAGGCCCTTTAGAAGGGTAAGAACCATGGCTCCCCCAACAGTCGTCTGGCAGCAGGTTCTCTGGACACCAGACCATCTCCACTTGTACAGGAGCCTCTAAGCCCAGGCTTATTTTAGAGGTAGAGACCCTCTTAGGTCAACAGGAACCTCTAGAACCTCTAAGGAACTGTAGAGGGTTTCCCACATTCTGTTCCTGATAGGGCTAGGCCCAGACAGAAGGGAGTTTATTTTAACAGTTGGTTAGAAATCACTTGAAATGACCTTGGCTTTGTTATAAAGAACCTCTGAATTGTTGGCAAGATCATCAGTTAAAGCCTTATGGCTGTTCTGTTCCATTGGTCGAGGTGGCTGTTTTTATGCCAGTACCTTTTTGGTTACTGTAACTTTGTGACGCAGATCGAAATGGGGAAGTGTGAGGATGGCTATTATCAAAAAGACAAGAGGTAATACGCATTGGTAGAGGATGTGGAGAAAAGGAAGCCCTTGTGTGCTGTTGGTGAGAATGTAAACTGGTACAGCCAGTATGGAGGTTCCTCAAAGAATTAAAAATAGAACACCTTATGATATAGCAATCCCACTTGTGAGTAGACATCCACTGTATTGTATACTTGAAATTTACTGACAGTAGATCTTATGTTCACACACACACACACACACACACACACACACACACAATGGTAACACACCATTGTGAGGTGATAGGTGTTAGTTAATTAACTTGATTGTAGCAGTCATGTCATATGTATATGTATATTAAATCATCATGTTATATACCTTTTAAAAACTAATGTTGTACAACCCAAATACATGCAGTTTTTTTATTTGTTAATCAGACCTCTGTAAAGCTGGGGTGGGGGAATCCTTATGACTATAATTAAAATGTCTGTTTTCCTTCATATTTAGGCAATTTTCCCTCCCCTGTTCATTACCCAGGACAGCAGTACTACTTTAATAGTTCAGGTAAGCACTTTATTTCATCGAATACATTTTGTTTTTAAAAATGACAGTGTTTGCCACCACAGAGCTGCCTTAAGGTGATACTGGCTTGTGCTGTTGTAGAGTAGCGTCCGCAGGTATGTACTGGAGCCACCATCATGCCTGGAAGCTAGATGGAGCCAGAGCCCAGGGAGCATATTTGGGTGACTTGGTAAGGAAGGCTGGGGAAGGAGGTGACTCTGGCCTGAGAATATTGTATGATTGGTATGAGGTCTCTCAGGCATGGGCAGGTTCATACTAGATCCGGGTCTAGTACTGGATTCTCAGTCTACAAGTCCACACTGCCCACTGAGTGTTACAAGTTAGTTTCAGATCTACTCTTCTCCACAGTCCACCCCACCTGCACATTCAGGAGGAATCATGCCTACCCTAAGAGGCTAAGGTAGGCGTTCCTCTAATAGTTAATACCATGTGACTTAAAGAAGAGAATATATTTTTTCTAAATGGTTTACAAATATGTAGAAAATATGGTTTACAAACAGTTACAAACTGTTAAAGCACATGACCTGTTTCAGACTAAGGCCCTCGTGTGCCGTGCTGGGGAGGCCCCCCTGTAGTGCCTGGGGCCAGTTTCTGCAGACAGGTGTTAAAGAAACCATAGCTGTGGATGTCTAGGTGTCTTTTGGAGTCATTCCACTGGAGAACTGGGGTCGGCAACCTTTTCTTTGAGGGGCCAGATAGCTAATGTTTTAGACTCCAAAAGCTTTGATGGTCACATGGTCTCTGTCACAACTTGTCCTTGTAGCATGAAAGCAGCCAGAGACAATTCATAAACAAATGAGTGAAACCTGACTTACAAAAATAGATAGTGGGCTGTATTTGGACCACATTTGTAGCTTTTTGACCCCTGACTTAAATAATATAGGTACAGAGAATTATATATATATTAACGTGTCTGTGTGTGAAGATAT